CAAAAGTCTGTACATGCAATTTTTTAATATATGGCATTTATCAATAACATTTAACAAACTTTGAACGCCTTTTTGATCCATTCATTTATTTGGCCAGACCGAGGCAATCTTGACGGGTAGCAAAAAGTAAAAAAAAAACTAAACTTTAAATAAATTAAATAAAGTATGGACATCAGCATCGTGGCCAGTGGCAGTATTGATGGCAAATATTTCCGTCTTCTACTGTGGCATTTTATGTTTTGAGAGCAAAACATATCCATTCACAGAAACCAAATGGTAGTTGACTGAACGCCCTGATTACAGCGGGCGATAATGTGCAAATTGTCAGTTAGTCAGTCAGTCAAATCAGCCTCATGCACCCAGCTCAAGTGGCAGTCGGCAAATGCAAATAATGCATTTTTTTCTTCTTTTTCATCTTCGCCTTTGTCTTCTCCTGCTTTATTTATTCGAAAAAAAAAAGTGAAATTTGTAGCAGCTCTAAGCTTTGATATCTGATGGTAAAATGGGCAAACAACGAAGACGGAGGCGACCTGATGTTACCCCTTTAGCTAGCCGGCCGGCCGGGCGAGCAGTCAGTGCGTCGTTCAGTTGATCCGTCTACAGGCTCGAAAAAAACAAAACAGCAGACAAACATGAAAACCAGTAGTTCCATTGATCCAAAACTTTTGCCGATCGTTCAAATATTGTTTTTTTTTTTTCTTTTTTTATTTTTCCTTTCAATTATTCATAAACTTGGACGCAGAAAGACAATCAATAAAATGAATTTGCTCAGTCAGTCATTGATTCAATAAAAATATACTGCTGATGATGACGACGATACATTTGCTTGCCCTCCGTATCAGCAAATCCTACTCCTTACACTGGCTCTCTTTGGTTTCCTTATGAGTAGTGGTGCTTGCATTTCCATGCAGGTGTGTGTGTGTGTGTGAGTTTCGGTGTAACATTAATGGGATTTACTTGTCATATTATAATGAATTAAGTCGACCATATTCCATTTGTTGCCAGCTTTCGAATTAGCCTTATTTTCCCCGCAACAGAGATCCCACACAAAGAGTTGATCTCAAATTTCCTTTCGGTCTCACCACTCTGCCAGAGAAGAGAACCAAGGAAGCAGCTATGAAAGTGATTAATTATGCTGGAGGATATTTTTTGTTGTTGCTGTAGTTTCCAACAATCTGATACTTGTTCTTGTCTTTGCTGCTGTTGTTATCTTAACGGGATTTTTTTTATAGTTGTATAAGGTGTTGGAATAAAAATAAAATCAGCAGCAGAAGGAAATTAATGTGAAGGTACATGGTAAGGGATATATTCCCCTGCCTTGCTTAGCTAATTTTGGCAGTATATTTTTTGATGGCCCGACCTAGTGGTGAGGATCCGACGAGGAATGAACCTTGTATTTCGGAATGAGTACAGTCATTGAAGGGAGCAAAGATATTTATACCTTGGCAAACACTGGATGATGGAGGTCATCTAAGGATAAAATAAGACTAAACACTCATACATATGACATTAGAAGAGATTAAACTCATATCTAGATGGCGCTATATAAAAATGGATTTTTGCATTAAAAAAAACTCTTCAACGTGTAGTCGGCAATCGGTAGACGTATTCAATTATCTAGGAATTCTTGTGATTTAAAAGGATGGAACTGAAGAAAATATGACCCAGACAGCATTTGGTATGATACCGTATATTTGGGTATGAAAATTACATGTAGATGGCGCAAATTAAACTTGTTTTAGTGATTTAATATTTGTAACAGAAAAGTACAGGTACGAGCTAAAAAATAAAGTATTTTTGGTCGAATCGAATTCCCATACAGAGGACATTAGTAGAGATTAAACTCATCTCCAGATGGCGCTATGTAAAATGGATTTTCCCAGACAAAATGTTGTTTAGGTTTAGATGTGGTCGGCAATCGGTAGGCTTATTCTGTTATCTTAGAATGCAGTGTGATTCAAAAATATGCAACTGAAGAAGATATGACCCAGATATGGTTTGATACGGTCTATTTAGTTATTAAAATTACATGTAGATGGCGCTAATTAAATTTGTATTAGCTGTTTAATATTTGTAATACAAAGGTTGGAACTACACCCAAAGTTAATTTGTGACTGAAGCGAACGAAATGACAGTGGAAATAGAGAGTTATTTTCGTTGGTGACTTATGGTAAAATTTAATGAAGAATTTTTGTCTTTGACGTCCTAGTTCGAAAATGATGATTTGTGGGAGATATTTGACCAAACTCACAAAAAGTTAGGCTTTAACCCTAAAATGTGTTTTTAATATACAGGATGAGATAAAAAAAAACTGCAACAAAATCAAACGCCATAATTTTTACATTTTATTAATTTTTTTGACCGAAAAAAAAATGTCGGAAATACCATTAAATTTTAGAATAAGTTTAGATTTGTTCAAATTGGTCACCTTTATCACGAATTATGGCACTCAAACGGCCAATGAAACCGTCACACGCTGCCCGAATGTTTCTCTGCGGTATTTTGGCCCATTCCCGGCGAAGCGCTTACTTGAGGTGATCGACACTTTGGTATTTTTTATTGCCAACCTTGCTTTCCAAAATACTCCAGACAAAATAGTCCAACGAATTGGTATCCGGAGATATCGGTGGCCATTTGGTGCGCTGGAAATGAAACGAGGAACCTCATTTTGTAACCATAATAGTCCAACGGAATGGTATCCGGAGATTTTGGTGGCCATTGTGCGTTGGAAATGAAGCGAGGAAACTCATTTTGTAACCATTCTTGGGCGACGCGTACTGAGTGCAATGGTGCTGAGTCCTGTTGGAATGTCCAATGTCTGCGGCCAAAATGTTTGCGTGACCATGGCTTTAATACACCCTCCAGAATATTTTCGCGATAATATTCGGCATTTATTCTGATCCATCGGCTGTTATGGCGGCTCACACCATCACAATGACCGGCGCTTGAGTTCTGGTGGCCAACCGAAGGTACAAGTTTTCAGCTTCAGCTCTTTGGCAAGTAAACACCATCATTTTGTTTGTTTACAAACTACTGGACAACGAATTTTTTCTCATCGAAGAAAACAAAATTAGCCAGTTCACCACTTTCGGCCAAGCAAAGTAACTCTTTAGCTCTTTTGAATCAATTTTCTTTCTGTTGCGGTGTAAGTTCTTGCATTTTTTGGAATTTCAATGGCTTTATCCCGAGCTACTTTTTCAATATTTGCCGAATGGAATATTGCGATATGTTCAGCTCAAGTCGTATGTTTCGGTCAACTCGCTTCTTTACTTTTCGAACCATTTCTGCTGATGTTGCTGATTTCTTCCGTCCAATTCCTTGACGTCGGGCTACGCTACCAGTATCACGGTAACGAGCGATGGTACGAGACACAAAAGTTTTATTTACATTGAAATGCTGGAGTGCTCTAACGATAGCCACTTGGGGTTTGCAGTCAAATATAAAGAAATCACACAATCACGCTTGAATTCCATCACAAATAACTTTTTTTCTGGAAAATTCTTACCAAAATGTTTTTGTACGCTTGTAAACAAAATAATGAGCTGTCACTGGAATAATTTTAACAGCTGTCGGACGGGTGATTTGAAATGACAGCAATCTGAAGTTGGTTGCAGTTTTTTCGTCTCACCCTGTATGCGTCAGGGGACCTCTTTTGCGTTTATAGAAGCGCCACCTGCATGTGAAATAATAAAATGAAACACCTAAAGAACTAATTGTCAGGAAATATTGCATTGCCCGTAAATATCAGTTAATAATGCAGCATCAAGCCTCCGCCCAATTATCCTACTTGCGCCATCTGCCTGTGAGATTATTTTTAAACACTGACTTTGACAGGTTCTCCTATGTGTGTTAACTTTTTTAAAGAGTGTAAATATTCTCAAAAAATATTTTTTAAACATCTTCCGAAATGTTTTTAGAAACTCTTGGATCTAATTTAAAAGCGTGAGTTTAAAAGCGACACCTGTATGTGAGATTTGTAAAATAAATAATGCAGCCCCAATCCTACTTGCGCCATCTGCCTGTGAGATTATTTTTTAAATTGACGTTGGCAAGTCCTCCTATGTGTGAAAAAATTTTAGCTTTGTATGGCGGTTGAGCTTTCGATTTTCATTATTTTTTAAGAGCTTCTTAAGCATGAATTTTCTCAAAACCTCTTAGAACCTCTCGAATCTAATTTTATTCATATATAGGCCAGGAGGCTTCTTCCCGGAGTTTAGAAGCGCCACCTGCATGTGAGATTTATAAAATAGAATACTTAAAGAACTAATAGACAGGTAGTATTGTATTTTCCGCAAATAGCATTTAATAGTTCAGCCTCAAGCCTCCGTCGATGTTTGTATTAGCGCCATCTGTATGCGAGCTTATTATTTAAATTGAATCCGGCAAGTTCTTTGATATGTAGAAAAGTTGTTAACATTGTATGACAATTGAGCTTAAACCATAAATTTCGAAGCTTTTTTTCGTCTTGTAAAATAATTTTAAACACCAAAGAGACGATACAATTGTTCAACAATGCATAAGTCTAAATTGGCACACCTTAAATTAACATGGAACAGAATATTGAAAACAGCCATCGGCAACAACAACAACAACAAAATTGAAATTACAACATGTCCCTATAGCAGAAAACAACTCTTACCTTGATGAATGTATACTTGTCATGTGCGAGCCACATGTGGAGTATAAACGGTTCGATGTTGGAGTCTGGGTTGTGCGGAGTTAAGAGTTACACACTTGGCTATGAAAAAAATACACCTAGGTGTCAATATAAACAAAAAAAAAAAAAATTAACGAAACAATAAAATTTACAATTTAACACACCCATTTACAACTGCGTGAAGAGTATTCCCAGAAAGTTCCCAATGAAGTTATTTTCTGTTGAACAAAGAGCCATCATCATTAATTCGTGTATAACAACCCACGCATTTTAAATAGGACTAGCCCTAAAAGAGGTGTTTTCTGTTTCTAGATTTTTTTTTTTTTTTTTGGATTTCTTGCAGGGACACCAATTTTGTGAAATCCAACTATGTCGCATCCGCACCCCTGGTTTCGGCAATTTTACAACAAATCCAAGAGCCCAACTCTCCCATGGAATTGCTGGATGAGCAAAAAACAGATGCTGATATTTTGTTGCTACTGACGGCCCAACAAAATCTAATGCAATTTCTAAACTGGGCCATGACCGAACTATATCCCTATGGCAAGTTTCACAATTCCAGTGCAAGTGATGCAGAACATTATCATCCGGGTATGTATTTGTGGAAGAAATTGAATTTCTCGGGACGTCTGGAACCACCCATGTATGTGGAGGAGCCGCACTATGTGATTGTGCGGCGAGAATATGATCCCAATGAGGATTTGAAAAAAGGTAAAAAAAATTATTAAAATTTTCTTTGAATTTGTCCTTCTCTTTTCCTCCACTTCTCTCTACCTCATTTGCTGGTTTTCTTTTTTATGTTTTTTTTTTTGAGGTTTTTTATTTTTGCTTTTTTGAAATCAAATCTTTTTCTTTCCCTCCTCTCTCTTTATGTTTTGCTTTGCTTGTTTTTTTAATGTTTTTTGCTTTTTTTTTGTAATCACCAACAACAGGTCTGCATTTCGGCAATGATCCATTTATACCGCCAAGGGGACGTAAGCATAATTTACCCGATCTTGATGCCTTGCTACAACGTTACGAGACATTTGTACCCAATCGCGGTAGACGTGACAAAATCAAAGATATTTTCAAACATGATGATCTTTTCTATCCGAATCGTGGCAAAAGACAAATGATGTTGCCGCCGCCGCCGTCATTAAATGGCAACAATGGCATTGGCGGTGATGATATTGACAGTGGCAGCGATAACATCAAAGCAACATCAAGTCAGCATCAGCACCACCACCAATCTTCGTGGTTAATGAATGACGAAAATGCGGCCACCACTCCAAAGCAATTGACACAGCCACATCCTCTTCATCCTGTGACAGTTGAGGCAGCAGCAACAGCAGCATTACAGAGCCTAGAAGAAAATGTCATGGCCGAAATGAAGAGAAAATTACAGCAGCAACAAGACAGTCTTTATTTTCCAAATAGTTTTGATGAAATGTCCAACAAGTTGGGCCCCAGGCCAACAACAAAAATGTCAAGCACATATCAAAGTGCAACACAACAACAGCAGCAGCAGCAAAGACTGGACAAACGTTTAAAATCAATGGCCAATATATTACAACAACGCCAACAAAAACAACAGCAGCACAACAACAAAAACTCCAGACGTCAATGGTGGAAGAGATATTCCGGCAATGATAGGCCAGCAGCAGCAGTCATCAACACTAGCAGTCGATCACGTACTGGGGCCGCTAATAGATTACATGCATTAAGATCAATGTCAGTGGCCGGCAATCAATGGCAGCAACAGGATCCTTCTCCTAGTGAATATTTTTCACCAACTACCAACAAATTTATGGGACAACGTTTTAGGTTGCAGCCAAGTGTGCGACAATCATTAGCTCAACAATTTGATCCTTTGTCTTGGCATAAATTACAAATGTTGCAACATCAATATCATCTACCACTCTTATGGGGCAACGGCAATTGACAAGAAACTGAAATCGACAACAGCAACCGAAACAACAACAACAACATCAACATCACAACACAATGATGTATAAAGCGGCAAATGACAACGCCTCAAGAGAGACAATTATCAGCGGTGGCAGCAGATCGCCTCACTGATAATTTCCAATCTAATGATCTACGAAATAATGATTTTTCCTAAGAAAATCAAACACTCAAACACAATTTAAGAGAAATTCACAATAATTGAAAAAAAAAAAAAAAAAAGCGGCACTCAATTTAATCATTTTTTTATTTGGTTGCTGTCTCCACTATCGCTGAGCAGGGGAGTTGTATATAAACACATAAGGGCTGGTTTCTTTACACTTCATATTTGGACAAAAATATATCCCTAAACTTATGTATATAACAAATAAATGGCAAATGATATAGAAAATATCAAAATATGTGGAATTTTCATTTGGAACCCAAAAACAATGTTAGGGGCAAGGTGTAAAAGCCACTTAATTTTCGCAGGATTCAATAGCATAAACATTAATGGCTTCGATAAAATTCATTGAAAAAAAAAAAAAAAAAAAAAAAAACATATTTTACACTGAACTGCATAATTGTTAACCTCATTTTTATATTAAACATTATTTTCATATTTTTATATCCAACACCACAAGGTGGTCAAGGTATTATGTCTTTGTGCATTTGTTTGTAACAGACAAAAGGAAACGAGATAAACCCATAGTTGCTTTTGATGATCTGCATAGAATCACTTTCTGAGTTGATTTATGCATGTCAGTCCGTCTGTCCGTCCGTCCGTCTGCCCAAGTATTCTTGTGAACAAAATGCAGGACGCATTTATTATCCAATTGAGATGAAATTTTCCAACCAACATTTGTTTGGCCCAAGGACGAACCCTATTGAAATTGGAGATAATCGGTAAAAATTTAGATATAGCTCCCATACATATCTTTGTCTGATTTACATTTTATTGTGCACCAAACGTGTAATATCATCCCGAATAGTATGGAATTTTGCACATACAACCAAATTAGGCCTGAAAATAAGTATGCCAAATTTCATCGAAATCGGTTATGATATAGCTATAGCTCCCATATATATTGTTCATCCGATTTATTATTTTTGTCCTCCGCAGCCGTAATATGAACTCTGTAACAACAATATTTGGGGTAATATATCAAATGCAGCTCAGAAATACCTTTGCTAAATTTTATCGAGATCGGTTCAGATTTGGATATAGCTCCCATATATAACTTCGTCCGATTTACCTTTGATTGTGCACCAAACGTCTAATATTTGCCCAAATAGGATGGAATTTGGCACATACGATCGAATTGAGTCTAGAAGGTAGTATGTCAAATTTGGTGAAGATCGGTTCAGATATAGCTATATCTCCCATATATATTGTTCATCCGATTTGTTGTATTTGTTACACACAGCCGTAATATGCACTCCGTAACAACGATAATCAGGGAAATATATCTAATACAGCTCAGAAATCGGTTCAGATTTGGATATAGCTCCCATATATATCTTTATCAATACAAGTCCGAATTTAAGAGATACAAATGCTTCGGCATATTTAGTCCTTTGAATTTTAAATTATAATTATAATCATAGGGTGTATGATTGAATTCTCCCATAAAAACTTTTGATTTTTATGTGGAGCTCTACTAAATTAGCAAAGTGGTGTAGGGTATCAAAAAGTCGGCCCCGCCCGACTTTAGGACTTTCTTTACTGGTTTTATTTTGCGAATACTTTTTGCAGGGAGAGAACAGACCTACCGATACCGCAAAATGCTAAATTTCTTCTAATTTGGTTGGAAATTGTGACCGAAACCTTCAAAATAACGAAAATCAGGAGGTATCGTTATATGGGCATATACCAAATAGTGGACCTTATTAAATATTTTTTGCAGGGTGTTCTCTCCAACCTTCCAAGAACCCCAAATATCCAGTTTCAGCTGCTTTGATTGGACACTGTGGCAGAAAACTTCAAGATACCAAAAATCTGGAGGTCTACGCCAATTAGTGGGGGCTACACCAATTAGTGGACCTAAGGAGAGAACAGACCTTTTAAGGAACCTCCAATATTTAGTTTAAGCTAATTTGGTTGGAAATTGTGGCAGATATCAAAAAAACACCGGAAATCGGGAAGTACCGCTGTATGGAGGCTATACCTAAACGCCAAGAGAAATTGTCTGCTCTGATGTCTGAATTTTTATTTTAAAACTTAGTTAAAAAAAAAATGAAAGCCTTCAAAGCCTTTTCCACTACCAACGCCATCTATTGAAGAAAAATGACAATGTAATGTCCCATCTTATTATATTATATGTCTTTGAAGCCTTTCATGTTTTCTTAACTTCCTGCAAGAATTTATTTTGGGTGTGGAAATGGTTTTGCAGTAAAAATTACAGAACTAGTAAAAGTAGGGCGTTTATGCCGGTCCTGTAGCGATGTAATTAACATAACAGGTTTTTTAAAATGCCATATATTTTGGTGAGAGATCAACACTTAACCTAGCTAACACATGATCCACTTGAATGTAATATATGCAATCACTAAGAGATGGTGCTAAGTTGTAGAAAATTAATGTTTTTAATGATGGAAGGATGGCAGAGGTAGTAGGCGATTCTAGGTTATAGAACAGATATCTTAAAGATAGATTAATGAAGTGAAAGTGAGTAACCATCTAGTATCTAAAATATTGTCTACGTAAATGCAATGTATTAATTCTCTAATAGATGGCACTGTTGAACGAGTTTTGCAAAATGGAATGATAGAATATTTAGTAGAGGATTTCCGGTTATATAACATATGTCTTACAGCAACAGGTTTATGAAATGCCAGCATGTGGCAAACTAGGCATGTAAAATAGCTAAAATATAGACCACTTGAATGTGAAGTATAAACTCACTTATAGATGGCGCTGTGTTGCAGAAAATGGAAAGATGGAAGAAGTGTTAGATTCTTTGAGTTTATAGAACAGATATCCAATAATAATAATAAAAGGTTTATGAATTGCCCCATATTGGAACATAGATTCAAAGACATATAATATAATAAGATGGGACATTACATTGTTACTTTTATTCAATAGATGGCGTTGGTAATGGAAAAATATGTTATGTCACGATATCGTGACATAGCATTATGTTATATTTTAACAGAGCTGACACTTTTAAGAGTTGTTGTTGATTTTTATCGATACAATGTCGAAAAGGAAATGCTCTGGACTTGATTTTTGGGAGCGGGTCTATCATGCCTGGTATTTTTTTCCGAGTATTTCCGCCATTTTTCGGCGACATATTTTTCTAAAATTTCCAATGCATTTCTGTTATGTGTCCTGCCATCTACTACCTAATGAAAAATTAAAGCCCATGTGCATTTTTTCCAGTCTTTATAGTTTTATGTCTTTGCATAGATCACTTGAATATATAAATTCACTAATAGATGGCGCCTTGTTTATTTTTGAACGATTCTGATTCCGAAGACTTCAGATAATCTAATTATAATTGGGTGATCAATTTAGCTAAAGTTTTTTTTGTAGACGCGCCGCAATTAGGATATAATATTTGAATGTGATATATAAAATCACTGATAGATGGTGCTGTGCAGATTTATAAACGATGTGGTTTTTAAAGACTTTAGATCATCCAGATATTATTATTGTGCGACCAATCTATCTAAAGTCGATTTTTTCC